TTGTTAATAATAATGACCTGTTTCTTGTTAAAGGCAACTGCAGGACATAGCCCTAATTGAGAAAAGTCACAGAATTGTTTTAGTGAAAGATGAGTTGGCAAGTTCGATTTTGAATTTGTAGGAATATGGCACAGATTCTCATAGCTTTAGCTGATTTATCTGTCAAATGTAACACTGACCTCAGTCCTCTTTTTACGTGTTAAAGGATCTGTTTCAGGCTTCTCATTGGCTTGCAGATAACTGTCTTTCTCCGATGTCCCTTTCCAGCCTCCTTTCCTTTGTGTCTCTGTGCCTAATATGTCTCTTTTTCCAAAGATATCGGTCATATACTTCCGAGCGTAACCCAGTGACCTTATTTTAACTTTGTGACCTCTGTAAAGTTTATCTCCAAATGAGGTTACATCAAGGCACTGGAGGTTATGACTGCAACACACAAATTTTGGGAGACACAATTCAACCCATGGTATTATAGTGTTCTAATCTATTTAGGAGTTCCTTGTCCAGTATGGTTTTAGTTCACTGCCTATGAGAAATATTTTTCTAATCCTGTTATTGATATTTAACTCTATTCTCTCTAGTTTTGTTGTTGTTGTTTGTTTTGTTTTTAAGAGGTTTTTGCCTTAGGGTGTGTGTGCTTGCTGGGGGGGGGAGTGTGGGAACAGAGACAGAGACAGTGAGAGGGAAAGTGAGAAATCACCTCCTCCCCTCACCCTCACAGGGAGGAAGGCCACACCAGAATTCCTTCTCCTCCTTTTTCCTCCTGGGATCTTGGGCGCGCGCACACGCGCGCGCGCCCACACACACACACACACACACACACACACACACGCCTGGTGTGATTTTAAAGCTACTGGGTCTGGGACTCAAATTGTGGTTGGCCAAGTGAGAGTCCAGTGACGTAACTGCTATGCCATCTGCTGGTCCCTACCCTCTCCAATTTTTAAAAAATATAGATGCAGCTAAACTTTTCTCTTTATAAATCTGGATTGTACTTGTATAGTTAGATAGAACTTCTCCCCCCTCCTTTTTTTTTCTATAGCGTACTTGCAGTCAATGAAGCGAGACAGAGACAGTGAGAGGGAAAGTGAGAAATCATCTTCCAGGGGAACAGCCATGCCCCAATCCCTTCTTTTCCATTTACCTCTTAGGGTTTTGGCCATGTACATACATGCCTGGTATGATTTTCAAGCAGGTCTGGGACTGAGCTCTGGTCAACCATGTGGCAGTCTAGCATTTTACCCAACACACAAGCTGCTGGCGCCACAATATATTTTCTAAAGTTTGTTTATAAAAATTATTTTTTAATTGCTACAAACTACCCAATTATGTTTGGAATATATGGTTTATGTGTAAGAAAAGGTAGGAATATAGCTTAAATATGAATAGCCAATTGTCCTAATATGATTGAATTCAGTTTTTCCTCCATCAGTTTTGAAATGCCACTTTTAGGAGGTACCGAATTCTTTATTACTATTATTATTACTACTATTATTACACTATGTTTCTGAACCTATTCTGATCTGTCTCAGTGACATGTTGTGGTTTAATTATTAAGACTGTGCACTGTATAATGATAGTTTTCAGGTGTACCTCTCCTATTCTTTTTGTTCAGTTTTATTGAAAAATTTCCTTTTCATTTTTTTCTCAGTGAATTTTCAAATTAGTGTGTCAATTACATAAACTATCCTGGAAGGAATTTAATTGAAATTGCATTCACATTATTGTAATAGTTAGGAAACTAGGTAACAATCTGTGTCTTGCCATCTGGAAGTATCTATTTTCTCATATATGAATTTAGTACTTTGTATGGCTCAGCTGTATTTTAGAGATACTTCATAGAGGTCTTACTCATGACTTTTAGTCTTCCTTGGACAATAGTAGATGAGTTTTCCACTCAAGTGTCTGAATGGCTATCAATAGACTATTAAAGCTATTGATGCTATCAGTTTGACCCTGATACCAGATACCTTATTAGTTGTCATAGTTCAATTGATTCTTTTGACTTTTCTTAACATGGGAAGCATATTTTCTTGGATTGACAACCATTAATTCTCATAGCTATAGCTGTAACTTATATTTCCTTTTGTTCACTAATCATACCTTCAAATCAATGTTGAACAGAGCATGTGACAGGAGACCTTCTATCATGTCCTTGACTTTAGGGTAGAAATATTAATTATCCTTTTTCACTGAGTATAATGTTTGCTATAATTTTCAGGTCATAGCATTTTAATCAGGCCACTTTTTAAATAGTAATTTTACTGAGGCATAACATTTATGCAGAAAAACAATCACAATCTCAAGGACATGCTTGATTAACTATCACAATATACTAAAAATTTAAGAAATAGGAAAACTTATTTTAGAAGTCATTCTTTGACCCCATCCATTTATAATTTTCACCCTCCTTCCAAAATTTAACCAATATCCTCACTTCTATTACTTTATAATCATTGGCTTATGTTTGAAATGTATACATGCACAATCATTAGATATGTTTTCTTTTGTCTTTGTTTTATTTTACATAGGAGAGTGTCTGTAAAAAGTTCATGTAAATGCAGATTTTAAAAAAACTGCATAAATTTACACATTTTTGCAGCAAAATAAACTTATACTTTTACCCCATTTTTTTTTTTTTTTGGAGAGGTTTTTGCTATAGGGCACGTGCTAGCCAGAAACAGAAAGATAGAAAGTGAGAAATCACCCCCCAGAGGCGATGGCCACTCCGCAATCCCTCCTCCTCCATTTTTCTCTTGGGATCTTGGGCATGCACGCACACGTGCCTGATGTGAGTTTAAGCCACCGGGTCCGGGACTCGAACCGCAGTAGACTATGTGGGAGCCCAGCGACATAGCCATTACGCTAACTGTTGGTCCCACCCCATTTTTCTACAAACTTTTTGAAGCATTCTTATCTTTATCTTAATTTATTATGAAAAGACATGTATCTATTCTACAATGATTTTAAAAATTATTGATATGAACATCCTTGTTTTATTCCCAACTGCAGAGGGAAGAACTTTCACTATTTCACCACAAATTTGGTAAATAGGTTTTTTTTTTTAGTCCTTTTTCATTTCTTTTCTCTTCTTTTCTTTTTAATTTTTCTTTTTAATTTGCCATAGGGCAAATATGCTTGTGAGAGAGAGAAATACCGAGTGAGAAAGAGAGAAAGCACCCTCCAGTGGGGTGTGGTCATGCTGCAATTCCTTCTCCTTCGTTTCTCCTTCAATCCCATTAGAATTTGGAGCACTCATGCACACTCATCCAGCTTGCTTCTTAAACCATAGAAGTCAGTATTCCTACCAAAGTCAGCCATGTTGGATCCAACTCCTTTAGCTATTAGGCTATGGGACAGGCC